CAACGGCCATTTTTGCGCCTTCCGGCCCTGGTTTTAAGGCAGTAAAACCAGAGTCGGACACGTTGGGGATTCGGGGCTGCGGGGGTGCTACATTTGGACGGCCATCTTCGGGTGAAGAAATGTTGGATGCGAAGCTGTCAGACATGTCTTGGTTAATACCCTGATCCCACGTAGCCTCGACGGCAGCTCCATGTGGCTGCCCGCAATGGTCAGCATCAGAACCGAGGTGAAAAAAAAATGATCGCATACAACATCCGACTTCAAGCTCTTCAGCTTGTCCTTTTGAAGACATGATATAAGTTTTTGAGTAGGTGGCTTGCCATACACGAACCATTATGTCAATGATCTGGCTGAGCTGCCGCAAGGCATTATCCAACCTGTCACTAAAGCCTGTCATCTTGGCAGCATGAATGTCTTGTTCATTCTTTAGCTGCTTATTCTCTTTGCGGAGTTTATTATATTCCTTGCCCAGTTCCGCGACGAGCTTGCGTTGGGCTGCCAACTTGGCCTTGAGGGTAGTTACCTTGGATGTACCAGTATGGCGAGATAATTCTGTGGGCTCCTCCACTGGGCAAACAATTTTACTATCAGTGTCGGTGTCCGAATCACTGAGTTCAATTAGCTCATTTTGCATTTTGGTGGTTGCTGTCAGTGATATAGATATCTAGGTCAACTTGAAATGCGGGCCAGCTGGTTTCCGCCGAGATCGAGGCGGTGGTGGCGCAGAGGCAGAACCGGAACCGGGAGAGAGCTGGAGCAAAAGAAACGAGAACAATGCAAGTTCAGTGCAGGAGAGTATTCAGCAAGGTTCAGGACCGTCTGACCAGTATGTTAGGTCTTGTAAATGGTAAGAAACATCAATTTTCAATGGCAAAGGATTTCCAGGTGCCGGGTGACGTAGCTTGCCGGAGTTTCTCGGCACCACACGTCCAGCTGAGCGGATGTGAAATTTTCTTCCTCGCTTGTTCCTTTCAACCTCATCGACATCGAGTTCGGCATAACTCGCGCATCCTCACTCGTTGTTCCCCTCGTATTTTGCACCCACCCACCACTCCCTTTAATACGTGTCGTAATTGTTTTCCGTTATCTTGTATATATGACATCATTAGCGCATCGCGAATAGATTAGATTTTAACATGCGGTACACTGTTATATACGCTGTCAAGCTTCAAGCTTCATATTCAGAGCACGATCGAACTCGCGAGCAGTTTTTCCCGCCCTCCCAGCGGCTCCACCTGCTCGCGTCCCACCCCGAGCTAACGCTCGGTCCAGCCCAACCTATGAGATCGTGTCACTGATTATGAAGCCAGATGAAGCTGGATCACGAGACCCCTGGATCGGAAGCAATAGTAGTACATAGACTGAATCATTATAGCGCGGTCACGGTACTGGTATGATTAGCCAGACTTTGTTGATGAGTCCTATTAGGTTTTTTTCGCTCAACACGAACCCTCTCCGTACTAGCATTCTTTCATTCCATCTTTCTTTCAGTGTGGACCTGCCTGGCTGCAATAACTCCTCGGGTGCAGCAAATGTATAAGTATTGTACGGTAAGTGTTCGACTATGTAGTGAATGTATCAATCCCCAGAGTTTGCTGAGAGTAAAGTATCAATCGACCTCGAGTAGTCGCAGACTTCTCAGATTCGAGACAAGATGGTCCGATGACCCACTTTTCCTCACTGGTCCAATGAGGCTGAACTAGAGCGTGATTTCATCCCATCCTATGCATCAGAAAACTCATCGTCGTCACTGCCAGGCGGTGTGACTTGCAATTCCTCGTCGCTATCACTTCCAGATGACACCTCTTTCCGGCGCACGCTCCCTTTCGCCCTTTTTGCAAGAGGTTTTTTGATTCCCGAGCTCCCTTTTTTCCTTTTCTGTGTTGTCGGCAGCTTCGGATGCGCCTGGTAGTGCAAGAACTGATCGAACCACTCCGTACGGAATCCAACACATTTCATGACGGTGAAGCCAATCACCAGCCTGCCATCATTGAGTGCCTCCCGAAGACCGTGTGCTGTAAGTTCCACAAGGCGGATTTCACCTCCCTTGTCTACGAGCTTGGAATTCGTGTCTTCAACCCATTCCCTTCCCCACCGGGACTTCAGAGTTCCCTCCACCCAAGTTCGCACGACCAGAGGAGGGAGCAGGTGAAGTTGGTGAGGTGTGATCTCACCTGACCGAGAGGTCTCGTACGAACCAAAGTACACCCATTCATTTGGTTTGCCGGACACGACAACGTCGACTGATCCAGTAATGAGCGTGCCATCTTCGAAACGCCTTACCCCACAAAATACGACACCATGATCCCCCGGAACAAGCGGGAGATGCGGATTCCAGGATCGTTTGAGGGCCATGCTGTAATGCTTGCTTTAGTAGCAATAAATTAGGTAGACTCGGAATACGCACTAGGGGTACCTATTCGATTTGCTAGTCGGACCTTGCCAGTTGAGGAATGTATTTTGCCAATTTCCGCCAAGAGCCTGAAGTAATATCAGGTGTTAACCTAATCTGATAGACGGGTGAATCACAAGCCCACGTTGCTGATAACAGAACGCCTGAATCCAACGTGGAACCTTTGTTCAACGATAATCGGAGGTCCGAGACGAAGGTGCTCAAGATTCCAGATGTCGAACTTCCCATCCTCACTCTTGACAAACGTGACATGGGCGTTCAGATCAGGTTCGTGTTCAAGTTCGGACTTTATAACAACGGCAATTTTTGCGCCTTCTGGCTCCGGTTTGATGGCAGCCAAACCAGAGTCGGAAACTTGAACGTTTGGGATTTGGGGCTGCGAGGAAGTTGAATTTGGAGGGCCATCTTCAGGAATAGGAAGGTTGGATGCGAAGCTGTCCCACATGTCTTGGTCGACATCCTGATGCTGCGTAGCTTCGATGGCAGTCCCATGTGGCTGCCCGTAATAGTCAGCATCAAAATCAAGGTGAAAAAATGCTTGCGTACAGCATCCGGCTTCAAGCTATTCAGCTTGATCATATTGAAAGTGAGACTTTTGACCTTTTGAAGATATGATTTAAGTATTTAAGCGGATGGTTTGCTATGCACGTACCGTTTTGTCATCGAGCTGCCGCAAGATATTCTTCAACTCGTCCTGAAGGCCTGTGATCTCGGCAGCCTGAATGTCTCGTTCACTCTTAAACTGCTTGTTTTCCTTGCGGAGTTTATTCAGCTCCTTTCCCTGTTCCGCAACGAGCTTGCCTTGGGCTGCCAACTTGGCCTTGAGGGTGGCTACCTCGGATTTGCGGTGTGATATTTCTGTGGACTCCTTCTTCACTGGGAGAACAATTTTGCTGTTAGAATTGGTGTCCGAATCACTGAGCTCGATTATCTCATTTTGCATTGTGGTGGTTGCTGATATGGATATCTAGGCCAACTTGAAACACCCACTGGCAGGTTTCCGAGATCGAGGACTCAGAGGCAGAACTGGAACCAGAGGGCTGGAGCAAAAGACACAGAAACAATGCAAATTCAGTGTAGATGGGTAATTAGCAGGGTTCAGGACCGTCTTACTGGTATGTTATGCCTCGAAAATGGTAAGAAACATCAATTTTCAATGGCAAGGGATTACGGGACCCCATCCGAGTCGGGACCAATAGTACTAGACTTGACAAGGATCATTATCCCCTTTAGTGTCCAACGTTCAGCTATCCGTATGATACCTTTCACCTCATCTCGTATGTACACGAATCCACAGTACAGCTTATGATAGGGCACCGCGTCTTAACAATTTCTATTGTTTGTTGCGGAATATACACAAAAAAATTCTCTCTCTCCTTCAGTGTTTAAGTGTAGACAAATCTTGACCACTCACGCTACGGTAAAAGCAGTCACCATCGGAAACATGTAAAAGATAGCAGTGTCTGGAGACGTAGTCAGGACTGAACTAAGTGCCCACTTTGCGACCGAAGTCATAATCAAGCATGTTGTTTATGACATATCCCGCACTGCGCACCAGTGTGTCCAAAAGTGCATAGAACAGGGAATATTTCACAACTTCGTTTGTGGGAAACGCCATATTATAGGCCGACGACAGGAAGCCCCAACCTGTGCATTAAAATATACAACCAACGAACAAGTACGCCCACCTTGCATTTTACCAAGAGGAAAAATAATTTGCTCCCTACTTGGAACTAGTCGAGCCCGACGGGCTCGAATAATGATCTTGCCCTGGAGGCATTGTACGAGGTTATACAGAGTAGAAAGCCTTGTGTGGGAGATCAGAAAATCAAGCGATGTTGACTCTATACGCGAGCACTTGCTGCGTCCAGCAGATTGATAAAGGAGACGGAACTTTATAGGACCAATCCATGTCAACATTCTGATGCGATGGCTCAGAAGATCGGATAATGCTGAGAATCCAGATCTAGGAAGGGGAGAGGACTGTACATCTCGAAGTGCCTCCGCCGGGTTGCGGTCCTTGATGGAAATGTTTTGAAGGATATGTTCGAATCGACAAATCTTCAACATAGATCATATCGTTTGCTGAAAAGCACCCATCTTTGTCTACTTGTGCGGGATTGTTTTCTGCCCATCACGCAATCTGACAATCCGGAAACCATTGTCAAAATAGCCTGACCCAGAGAGGCCTGACCGCCGCAATTGCCAATTATTTGACTCGGACACAGCTCCACTGCTTCAGTGTTCCGCCAGGTCCAGCCGCACATTTCCACTGTCGGTCACTTCTTGGTCATTGCATCAGCACATGTCCTCTGGTGTGAGTACAAGAACGACTGCCTTGCTAGATGTAGAATGAAGTCGGGATAGGCCTAACGAATGTGACGGCAGCTTCTACCGATGTTCAAGTTGTTTTGGCTGGTTGGGTACCACACACTTTGTGATTGTTAGAAAAAAGATGAACGGGAAGATTGTGACTTACAGAGAAATAACCTTATGTTCAGAGTCTAAATTAACTGTTAGAGTTAGGCGAGCCTAATTTCCGCGTCTGGCATGTCCACGTCATGCCTCGAGGATATCAAAAAGACAGTGCTCGCTGCAAGGCTCGAACTTGCGACCTCAGGATTACCGAGCGAACACTCGTCATACGCATGTATGAGACCTGCGCTCTAACCAACTGAGCCAAGCAAGCTCACAATTAAAATTAGAATGTGATTATATAATCAAGCGTCTTGAGAAAGTTGTGCTTCAACGCAGTACTTGAGCTTGGGGACTTTACATCTTAGTCTTGATCGTGATTGCACATAACCACCGTCAAGAACACGTTGCTTTGACGAGTCTGTCCTCGCGGCCATTCATTGAGCTCAGCTTCGAGCTGGCTCCGCGCCACAAGTCTTTCAAAACATCTCCCTTCCATCCTCAGCATTTGCTCGGATGACCAGTCGGAAGAGACAGGCCTCAGATTCTCTACTCCCAATGCGTTCTGCTAAATACCAACGCACGGAAGAGAACCAGGGCATTTGGCAACGTTGGCGTCAACTCGGAACTGAAGCACTCACACTTGGCTACGAAACGGTCCGCCTCGGATGCTTGTCCTTCATGAAATGTGAGATTAGTTCTATTGCCAGACACGATCGTTCACTGACAACGTGTTCAAAGCCTCTCAAAAACCAGATACATCTCAAGCCGCATCCCAACAGCCGGAAATACCTAATCAATCTGGTTCTTTACCTTCGCAAGCTCCACTCTTAGCTTTGCCATCTCGTCTGCCTATACCAGAAGAATTCCATAAAGCCAAAGAATCACGGCCAGTGCTAGGCCGCTCGCGACTTTCTTCTTCTTTACCATCGCGATCAGAGTCCTCAAATGCACTTAATGGAAACGGAAACTCACCTCCCTCAACCCTCACTGGACACACCTCAGTCACCCCGGTTCCCTCGACATCGAAGGAACACATTCAACACAGCCAGTCGTATGACTTCATAGGAAGTTCCGTGCACGGACGAGGAGTGCTGAGCGGTATTCGCCCTCGGCGGAGTCGAGATCATATATACGCTCGTGTTGTAAGTGTATAAGCCATGCTAACAGGTTCCTATATCTTACTATCGACCGATGTTGTAGCACAGAGCCAAAGTACAAGAAGATAGGAAAAAGGACCGCGAAGAGCTCGTGCAAGAACTCTTCCATTTCAAACGTTCTACTGGTCAGTATGCTAGTACTTTTCTAGATGTTCTATCTCTCACTTTGATTAGGATATACCTCAGATTTTGATTCTTTTAAATGTGCGTCCATTCTGTCTTGTCCATGTCTGCATCTAATTTGATGAATCTCAGCTTTGATTAATTACCAAGCTCGACTTGAAATCCTTGAACGACATGCACTTTCACGTGCGTGATTCTTATTACTTCAGTCTAGCACACTTACGACGTTGTGCGTAGCTTCACCATCACTGACAGATCTACGCGCAAAGCAGCCCTCATCTGGGCGTTCCCGCAGGTATTCGTTCTCAGATGTGAGTATGTGCATACTTCGTTTGTTACTGTGCTAAATTGTGCCAGGATGTGAATCCCGACTTCCTAGAACGTGCACTTAGAAAGGCTAAGAAGTCATTTGAGCTGTATGAGCGCATCTCTTGCATATTTTTTTCCTCACTGAATCAATTTTCTACAGTCCGCCACCTAAACCGTTCTCCCCCTCACATGATCGTCTACGTTTGTCCGCACGCCACAGAGATGAGGCCATCGAGAAGCGTCTGCGTCCAAAGCTACCCAAGGTTCTTCCCCCTGACGCTGACACACAAGTTCACGCTCTTCTGTGCAAGAAAGGAGTCATTTCTAAAGTTGCTCGAGAATCTGTTAATGATCGAGATCTATCTCGATTACTGCCCGGTCAATGGTTGAACGACGAAATTATAAACTTTTATGGCGCGATGATCTTGACGCGTTCAGAGTCCAGCCGCGACCCTACCGCAAAGCGAAGGATGCTGGATGTCCACTATTTTAGCACTTTCTTTTGGCCAAAGCTAAAAAATGAGGGCTACGAGCAAGGGCGGCTGGCGAAGTGGACAAAGAAGGTCTGTCTCTGTCCAGTGAAATTGATGATAATATCTCATTCCGTATACAGATTGATATCTTTTCGAAAGACGTCATCCTTATTCCTATCAACCACAACAATTCCCACTGGACCGGGGCTGCCATCAACTTCCGTCGGAAGCGGATAGAGTCGTATGACAGCATGAATCTTGACCGACATCAAGTCTTCAAGGTACGTTAACTTGCCTTGGCGTACCCAGGAAAGTCCTTACATTGTCCGTCAAGGCCCTGCGGAGTTATCTGGACTCGGAACATAGAAACAAGCGGAAGAAACCTTTTGACTTCACTGGGTGGCAGAATCACAATCCGGAGGATACACCACAACAGGAGAATGGTTATGACTGTGGCGTGTTCACGTGCCAATTCTTGGAATCCTTGTCCAAAGGGGAAGAAGGATTCTATTTCTCGCAGCGGGACATGACATACTTGCGGCGGCGGATGATCTGGGAAATTGGCCACGCCAAGTTCCTGGACAGCCCATAATAATGGGCTTCCACGCCTTGCTCTTTTTACATGGTTTTATGATACTTTGTATTACTGTGGATACGGAAATGGCGTGACTTGAATGACGAGAAAGGCGCACTGTGCGAGCAACTGATCCAAAGATATCGATAAACATCCGCAGTGGGTAATTGTCATCGCCGAAACCACCATACAACGATGAAAAACCAGAACACAAATACGAGAAATAGGATGTACCATAGCCATCGACAACCCTGCCGCTGTGCCATGTTGTTCATGCGACGGAACGTGCCAGCTAGGATGCCCGAGGTCTCAGCGAATGCGTCATTCTGTGGAGCACATGATAAGCGTAGGGAGCCGCGACAGCAAAGTATGCACGCACCATTTGGCTGAGTTGCACAGTCGATTCTCGGACCTCGTTACCAATGCCAACGGTAATCTTTATATCAATATGATGAGTTTGGTGGGCGGGCGAGACAGCAAGCACCACTCACATCCTTGAGCAGCTTCACCTTGGCTGCCAGGCCCTCCAGCGCCTCGTCATTCTGACCTTCGAGGTCATCCACGTAGCGATGGCCAAAAGGCTCTGGGTTTGCGCTGTTATACGGTGACGAGCGTCCCGAAGCTGGAGGTGTCACACCCAGGAGAGCTGAACGGTCTCGTAGCGCTGCATTTGTTGCTCTGTATCTGAAGCATCAATTAATGAACATTGCAAGGTGACTCCCCGGAGTGCTTCACCTTTGTGACATATAGTGGTGTGTATAAGACCAGCTGCTGCACTAGCAGCTCCACACTTCCCGACCAATGGGTGAATTCGAAAGGGAATGTACAAAGCCTTTCGACTCAATACAGCCGAGGCTGAAGGGGGGAATGTGTAGTATACGGATCCAATTGGCAAAAGACCTTCCACGTCACACGCTCTGCCTAAGTTCGTTCAGCTTGTGGTATATCTATCTATTATAATAACATCGATACATAAAAATATCCACAAAGCACAGGCAACTCCGAGGGAGGGTAAAAAACGAATACCAGAAGAACACAAAGCCTCCAGATCCAGATTGGAGAGCGATGGATGCTACTGGCATGCGTGCAAATATATCCGTAAATACTTATACCTATAAATCAAGAAATTAAAGAACGCGAAACATGGCAATGCAAAGGATTTGTGATGAATATGTCAATGCAAGTGTGATCTTGGTTGGGGCAAGGTGAGGCTGGTGTGTCAAATCGAAAGAGTGGCAAATAGCGCTATAGAATACAAGCAAGTCCGTGGCTGTGACATACGCGCGCTTTCATTCGATGCTCATCCGGTTCGGGTTCGTGCTCATTGGTCCTCGATTCAAGTGTTGGGAGCCACTTCCCTGCGTGTGGGTTTTACTTCTTGCAACTGTCGCACAGCGCATCAGCCAAATGAACTATGAAGGGAAAAAAATACTAACTGGATGCCTTTAGTCCCCGGCCGAAATTGCGCATCACCAAGACGGAAAAGATCATCGTGATGACAAGAAGGACGATTGCAATTGCCGCTACCATCATCGTGAGCCGCCAGAAAAATTATATATCAAAGGACTTACAAAACGTGGAAAGTGATTTCCAATACAAGGCGTATTGGGTTTCCCTGTACTGAAGAACCCGGAAAAGCTGAAACGTCATGAGCAAAGGAGCTCTGTGTAGCAAGTTTGCTAAGAAGAGCTCACTTTGTATGTGAAATAGACCAGGGCGCCCATACTTCCAAACATGAACGTTCCCATCATCCACTTATTCTCGTGACGCGCAGCAAGGTGACCTTCGATAAGGAGGAGAATTGATAACGGGAGAGCAGCCCAGGTGACGTAGTACTCCCAATCGTTCTTCTGGAGGACCAACCATATGAACTGCACCGAGAAACCAACCCAAAAGAAGATGTCGAACTTGACAAGACATTCGAAGATCTGATATGTGGCATACATTTTCTTGATGCGGCGGTCGGCACCCAGAAACTTGTACACCTTCCATCCGAACTCGTTATAGATTTTCCAGCCAAGACCAATGTATGCTATCTCCGCAGCAGATATGACGGCAGGTATAATGTCAGTGAGAACATTCACTGGTACGTGCAGAATCCCGGCAGAATTGGTTGACGAGTTCTTGATTTCGCCGATTTCAATAACGGCATATAATAGGAAAAGAAGGTTGAATATGCTGTAAATCCAGTGTCAGAAATATGCTATTGTAGGCAAGAAGCAAGATATGGACTCACATAAGGGACATAAATTGCAGGGTGTTGCGTGCGTACACCGCATCAACCGCCATGACAAGTTGGAAGATGCTGAATTGGAGATTTGTGTCAAATTAAGAGGTTGAAAGACGTTCAAACACGTACTGGGCAAGCGCGAATACGCTGACATACACCGCCAATTTCCCCGAGTCATCCTGCAAACGAACAAGCAAGTCGCCCTCGATGGCCAGATCCACTGCGGTCTCGATCACCACTGTTAGGACAAACAGGCGACACGCCCAGGAGTCAGGAAGAATCTAGTTAAAATTCAGTAAAACCCAGCATCTGTGAAACAATAGTGCTGACCTTTGCCCAACAACTCCTGATGTCGATCGGTTTCTCCTGCTTCAGCGGTGGGGGATAGTCATGATTCGAAGTGTC